ACACACACACACACACACACACACAAGCTTGTTTCCTTTCGTAGACCCGTCTTGTAATGTCCTAAACCATGCAGTCTGGTGTATTTCCAATTCAGTATGGACCGCATAAATTCATTCAAGTAGGCCTAATGAATGACAAAAAGGTGGGGGAAGGGGCGAATAGTGGTAGGGGTTGGAAGGGGGGGGGGGTCGCACTGTGCCCTTATCTATAGCAAGACTAATGTTTTTCCCTTCGTTTAGATGTAATGATGCGGCCCGTGCTGAGCACACTTTACTGCAAAGTCTGTTTTTGTTTGTTTGTTTTTGTTGTTTTGTTGGGGTTTTTTTGTTTGTTTTTTTAACGGAGAGCGTAGAACGGGGCCAATCTGGAAATGTACAACTCTACGTTTTAAGGTAATGTGCGGAAACTAGTCATCATCTTCTTCTTCTTCGTTCTGCATGGTAGATTAGATGTTGAGGACTGAAGTGTTGATGAACCCCGCAGTGATCCCCAGGTCGAGAGGGCTGCCATACAGCTTCTGCTGCATGTGTAACTAGTTATGATTATTAATATTACTGTCTTTGCGAAATTTATATAACTGTCTTAGCGAAACGACACAGACGTACATATACATCATCATCATCATCATCATTGCCTTTCTCACCCTGGGTCAGGATATAGGCCACGAACAAACACTCTCCACCTTTCCCTATCCTGAGCTAGTCGCTTGGTATCACTCCACATTTTCCCACTTTTCTGTAAATCCATTTCCGTGACTCTTTTCCAGGTTCCAGGAGGTCTTCCCCTTGATCTTTTACCCTGTGGGTTCCAATCTAGCTCTTTTTTTTTGTTATCCAGCAGCTTGACTTCCTGAGAGTGTGTCCAATCCATCGCCAACGTCTTCTTCCCACCTCATCTCTGGCTGGGCTCTGTCTGGTTCTTCTTAATACTTCCTCGCAGGTGATCCTGTCTGTCCATTTGATCCTCAGTAGCTTCCACAGACACTTGTTTAAGAAAATCTGGATCCTCTTTATGCACGTATGGGATGCGTTCCACGTCTCACACCCATACAACAAGACTGACTTCACATTTGAGTTGCAAATTCTAAGCTTTGTTCGTAATGAGATATCCCTGGTCCTCCAAATCCTGTTTAAAGAAATAAATGCAGTCTGTGCCTTTCCAATGCGGGACTTTATTTCCGCACCTGTTCCCCCCTCTCTGTCAATTAAACTCCCAAGATGGCAGAAGGATTCGACGTCTTCTAGTGCATTTCCTTGTACTGTGACCTGCTCCTTCCGTAGTGCGTCTATCCTTAGGACTTTCGACTTTCCTGGGTGGATCCTCAATCCAACAGACTCATTCATATACAGGCCTGTAAGAAGACAACCAGTAACGAGATTACTTTTTCACTGTTGTATCATCTCACCTCCGTTGGCGTTGGTAGCCTCGTGGTTATTCTACCGGACTCGTTATCATGAGACAGCTGGTTAAAGAGTTCGAGCCCCAGCTCAGTGCCAGGTCCTTGGAAAAGTCATGTTCTATTTGGTAAGGTTCTTTCGGAGATGAACGTTAACCTCGGAGGTCCTGCTTCTAAAATATCCTGAAATGGTAGATAGGGGGTTAAATTTATTCATTTTCATTTCACTTTACCCCCCTTCGCGCCCTCCCCTTCCTACTCCAATCCCCAGGTGGACAACTTTCTGCCCATCATCTGCCGAGATTTCCTCGGAACATTCAGCATCAACTTCATCACCATCCTGGTCATCTTGATCGAGACTCCAGAGTTTGGCGCTGTCCTCATACCCGTCATCATCTTCTTTTTCATCGTTCTGGTAAGTACTTCATCTATTACAAACTCTTCGACATCTATTATCGTCGTCATCATCCTCCTCCTCCTTCTCTTCCTCCTCCTCCTCCTCCTCCTCCTCCTCCTC